CGAAAATAAGAAATAAAACTTATATAATAAATATATTAATTCATTAAATAAATATTAAATTAATTTAATCAAAATATAATTTAAATATCTCAGTTCAATTTGTAAAAATAAAATATAGTTTAAAATTTACTTATATTAAAAATATAAAAGAAAATAAATAGTATTAAATTATTGATGAAGCAGAAATTAATTTCAAGTAATAATATATTACTTTATTATTATTATTTTTTTTTTGTTAATAAAAATGATTATTATTAAATATTAATATTAAAATTAATATTCTATACGCAAAGTAAGGCTATAAAGAAAATTTTTAACTGTCATAATATTTTTGCTAAAGGCAAAATTACATTAGATTATTTATTACGGATAAAATAGTAGAGAGATCAAACCAGTTTTTAAATATTTCGTCTTTCTAAAGATATATTTTTAATTGTTAAAATACATCTGAATTTTAGTTTTTAAATTTATAAATAATTTAATATTAAACTATATTGGAATTTTGAAAAATACTTTATATATATAAAAATTTCTTGGACAAAATCGTTGAAGGAAAATACAAAAAATTTTATAAGAATTCGTGATAGAAATCATTAAGATGAGATATGTTTTACTTTGTATTTTCTCATGAATCAAACAGCTTGCCAAGCTTGGTAAATTTATTGTGAAGACGAGCAAATTATCCAGATGACAAACGAAAGAACTATCTTTTATTGGTTATCGACTGCTACGTAATGTCTTTGCATTCTTATATAAGTAGTCTTTCACAGACACATAATACAACTGTTGTTGACAGAACAAACAGAGGAACACATCAAATAAAACAGAACATAATACAATAAAGAGACTATGAAGAATTCAGTAAGTATAATTATACGATTCTCTATATAATATTACACCCATTTTATTTATTTATTTATTTAATATTTTTCTTCCAGATTGTTTTAATTTTAGTCGTTTTGATGATAATGGGCGCCTTAGCTGATAATATCAAGCGAATTGGTCATCACAGTGGATCTGGATATAGTGGACACGGAATCCCATCTGGAGGTAAATTCGGTGGTATTGGACACCACGGTGGATATGGTAGTCATAGAGTTTCTGGTATACACGGTGGTAAAGGTCACGGCAGCTCACTTGGCCATGGTATTCGAAGCCATAGTGGATACGGAAGCCATAGTGGATATGGAGGCCATAGTGGATATTATGGACACAAAGGATAATAACTGTGGAGGCAAACGTGACAAAAAAATAAATATCGTTGATAGTATTAATTCTTTTCTATTTACTTATGTTAATGTAACGTATATAAACATATCTTGTTTTATTTCAAGTAAATTCTGTAACAAAGTGTAATAGAATCATTTTTTTTATCATAAATTGTGAGTATTCTACTCAAAAAAATTATGTGCTAATGGTGCAATCTAATAAATTGAAAGAATTTTGAAAATAATTTATTTATCAGTATATGAGTTTGATTTATTAACATATGTCTATTTATTAAATGAATAAATACGTGTTAAATGATATTAGTGAACTTTAAAAATTAAATAAATATCTTTAAAACTATTATTTCTTTAAGGATTGAATTTTATTAGTTAATTTTTGAATTACAAATAATATAATATTAAATGTTACCTTTACAAAACATACAATCTTTACAACTGCTTTTTATTAATAAAGAAACATTCTATGTATTTCATTTGGTCAAAAACAAGTGACCCTCTAGGGAACGGGGGAGGTCCACTCTACTGTCAGGTCCCATACAAACTCTCGATTATCCTGCTGGAACCGTAGGCGTTATATTGGTCTTTATTTATTTATTTATTTAATTTTTTTACACGTAAAGTGTGGCACCGAGTAAGGAGAAATGAATTCAAGTTGCGAGATGCAGTTAGCGTGAAGTTGCCAAATAATTTAACAGACTGCATCCGGATCGCCGTGTGTAATTGATTAAAAATGATTTTATTTTTTAGTTATAATTGTTATAAGTAGATTTTTATTTATCTCGTTTATATCTAATATAAAAAAATCACCGTTTTGACGTTAAAATCGATGAAACAATAAAATAATTAATTTATCAAATCTTTGATTACTGAGCCATAAAGACAATACATACATAAAGACAATACATAAATTGTATTGTCTTTATGTATGATTGTACAAAATAACCTTCGAACAACGGCCATTTTTTGAATGTTTTCGTCAATGTTTTTAAATTATTAATTATTTCCTTGTTTATAATTTACTTTCACTCGGTATTTCATCAGTTATTATTTATTATTTAATTAGTAATTATTATTAAATGAAAGGTTTGAAAATCGATAAAACAATGGAATTTTTCATAAAAATAGCTGCAAGTTTATATGATAACACTTTCCTTAAAAATTTCTTTCAAGTCTTCAAACAATTGTTATATTCTTAAAGCCTTTAAGGTTGGAAATACCTATTATTATTGAGAATTGTTTCTATAAAATAATAAATGTAATTTCCTATTTTGAGCATTTAAGATAACAGAAAACAAAACGAAAATAAGAAATATAACTTATATTTAGTACTTTATTATAAAATATATTTTATTTATGAATTTCTTAAACCATTTTTTTTTTAATCTAGACGACATAGAAAGTAAAAATATGACTTTTCTCAAGCGATAGAATGACTGTTATTATGTAACAATTTACGTGTTGGACAATCTGCATACTAGAGGTGTTTTAACTTACCATAAACAAGCAAGAGAAGAGGATATAAAACGTAAGATAATTGTATTTCAATTCGAGGTCATTCAGATATGGGTTAAACGAACTTTGACATTGAAACAAAATGTCGAATTCAAGGTCACGGTTAAGAGCTACGGGCTTAATTCACTTCTCGAAAAGTTTAATGGAAAAGTTTCTCAGAAATTGTTTTCTACATCATTGCATTTTAAAATTACCATAAATGACCGTAATTATTAAATCATTTTGTAAATCTAATATAAAAATTTTACTATAAATTATTGAAAAATTCCTTTTATTATCTTCTTATAAATAATAAATATGTGTAAAATTCAATTTTAGATATTAAAATATATTGTGGATATGCGAAACTTTAACCATAAACTGTATTAAACTTATTATGCTGCTTGCCCAAAACTGTTGTGAAGCATTTTAAACTATAAAATCTAATCATTATTCAGTAGAATATTTCTATAATATTTTAAATTTTAAATTTATCTATCTGATTTTTGATTTTAGATTAATTTATAATAAAATTTTAATTAATAAACTGAAGAAAATTTAAAAACAAATCTATTAAGCTATTTGTACAGTAGTTAATAAGTTACAATCTAAACCAAGGCAGTTAATGGGAAGATAAAGAAAAAATGGCCGTTGTTTAAAGCTAATTTTATGTATTCAAATAAAGTTCTTGAAAAATGGCCGCTTTTTAGAGATGACCTCGTTGGGAAATAGCCGTTATTGGAAGTTCGACTGTAGAAAGAATTTTAACCAAAGTATTTTAATAGAAAAATGAAATTTATTAACTGACTACAATATACAAAAGGTTTATAATTTAAAAAACTAAACTAATAAAGATAAAATGATAAATCTTATTTTATTCATAAATGAGCTGATGTTACAGGAGGCCAGTATTAGAACCTGCATATCTGCATTCACCCCCGTACTATTATAGATAAACTGTAAACTCTTAGATAGCGTATAAGCCTATATAGAGCCGTAGCAGTGCATTGACAACAGGGCAAGTACTAAGGGAGTCAAACATTGCTACAACTCTGCGTATATATATGTATATAAGTTCATTTGTTACATTCAAATCTTTTTCCTATACTTGTTTGAATTTTTTTTTTTTTTTTTAATTTATTCATAAAGGTAAGGAGACTCGAGCNATCATTTAATAACCTATTCGATTCAAATATTATACATTCGAATCTCCAACAACTGCCATTTCTAAATGGCGGCCATTTTTCGGGTATTTTTTGAAATGAAGACAAAGTAAACTCAAAACAACGTGCACTTTCAGAACAGTGCCGTAACTAGGCAGGTTGCAACAGGTGCATCCGCACAAGGCCCACTTAGAAGGGGGGTCCCAAAATGCATGTATTTGTTTTATTATTTTCCCAAACCTAATTAATTAAGGGGCCTAAATGCAAATTATTACACAGGGCACAGAGAATGGTTAGTTACGACACTGCTTCAGAATAATGATTATTTTTTTGTTTCAGTGAAAGGACGTTGTTCAGAAGTTTGTGTTATACAAAAGTACAGAAAAAAATTAGAAAATCTATTTAAATTTCTATCTATTTTTGAAAAATGATTAATCTAAAATAAATTCATTTAAATTTTAAATACTAGATGGCAGAAAAATAGAATGTTTTAACTGACGTTAATTATAAAACCAGTTTTTTTTTTAAATTTATAAATAAGTAACCTTCTCTACGCTACTACCTCTAAAAAATTCTTTCTATTATTTTTAAATGTTTTTTTAAATAAATAATTGTTTTGTCTGGAGCCTTATTAAAAAAAAAAAGCTTAATTTTTTTGTTTTATAATCCTACATTACCTTATAATTATTTTAATTTTTATCATCCGGTTAAACCGAAAACAAAAGCAAAAAAATCCCTCTTCGAATGACGAAATCAAAAGCGGAAATTCCATAAAAAAATAAATTTCTTAAAATATTTTTATAACAGAAATATAACTTTTTTTTAAAAAAAAAATCACAATTTATGTATAACAAAATTTAACTATTATTATGTAAATTAAAAAATTAATTTTATTTTTAATTCCTTTAAAATTTTTTAAATTGTGTTCTGATTCTTGGGCACTAAGAAAGTCTTCTTTCAGGCCCATCACGGGTTCGGTCAAGCCAACAATGAGGACGGTCGGTAGTGACGGGAGGCTCGAAATATCTAAGAAAGCTTTGTAGAAATAACAAAATAAATATTCATCACATAGGCCTATCCAATAAAAAGTTTATACTTAATTTTATGTTAAATGTAATTTTAAAAATTACATTAATTAGTGAATATTTATATATTGTATTTTCGTTCAATAAAGAATTAAAATAAAAGATTTTAATAAATTTTACATTTTTTAACTTATTTCACGTAATTATTTTCATTTTAAAAAATTGAGAAAAATAACAAATTTCTTTTTAAAAAATTTATTTTTATTCATGATTGTAAACCAAAAACGATTACATTAATATACATTAACACATATTTTAGAAAAATGAAAATATTCCAACGATCAATTTCGCATCTGAAAATAAATAAATGAATAATGTATAAAAATTTTAATTCGATTATTTATAAATTTAAAAAAAAAACAAATAATAAAATTTACCGTATATTATGGCAACGAATAGATTTATCAATGACCATAATCTTTATTAGACCGTCCAGATCCTCCTGATCCAGAACTTCCATATCCTGATCTTCCATAATTTCCTGAACCTGATCTTTCGTAACCACCGGATCTTGATCCCTCGTAACCTCCAGATCTCGACCCACCAAAATCTTCAGATTTTGATCCTCCGGATCCATGACGATCGTATCCTCCTCGGCGATTGCCGGATTCTGATCCATGGCCATCAGAGCCACCGCGATTGCCTGTTCTGTAATCATCTTTACCACGATTTCTGTCTTCGCTTTCTCTCGGATAGTAACCGTCATCTCTACCATGAGATCCAGCTCCGTGGCCGTCTCTTCCGTCACAATTATGATCTCCGTAAGAAGGTCGACGTTGTTGTTGTTGTTGTTGTTGTTGTTGTTTATTGCCACTATTTCCAAAATCACGTCTTCTATCCTGATCTAATCTCTTTCCTTGGTCTCTATTACCAAAATCTCCTCCAGTTCTTGTACGTCCTTTGGAATTTTGACCCCATTGTCCAGATTGTGATTGTTTAGTAGCTATTGCTAATGCTACTACCATTACAATAAAAACAAAACATATCATCTGAAATATAAAATAAAAATAATATTATATAAACCTATATAATTATTAAATTTTATAAATATTTTGAAAATATATAAACCAAATCATGTATATTAGAAAATGCTTAATGTTATTTTTAACAAGATATTTAGTACATTTTATTTAAATAAAAATCATTTATTTTTCTAAATTCTAACTTTAGAAAAATTAGTTTTAATTAATTATCTAAAGAAGCTAATATAAATAGGTTTAATGAAAGTTTATATGACACATACCAAGGGTTTCATCTCTTACTATTGTAGAACCAGTCTTGCAAATGCTGTATCAGTCAATAAAGAGTTAAAAGCATCAGCATCACGGGATTTATATAGAAGGTGACTTAACAAAGAGAGTTCGCTGACACAAGCTTAATGACCCACTTGGGTGAAACTTTAACCTAAAAGGTCCCTAATATTTCTTATTGCATGATCATCTTTATTTTCTTTTGCCCATTTTCTTTAGGCCCATATCTTTAAGATCAATTTTGAGGCGGATCTTGCAAAAATATATAATGGTCAAGTTCAACGTTAACATGTATAATTAAGAATGCATATTATACCTTAGTAAATTTTACCTTGATAACATCCTTTTATTTCGAGAAGATTTTTCTCTTTTATCGATGATAATTATAAGTATAAAGATATTGTATACAAACTTTTTATTATTATATTATAATTGACATAATTAATAACATAATTTAAATTTTCTGATTAATTTATTATGTTCAGTTTGTAGTAGAAACACGTATACATGTTTAAAAAATGATCTTAGTTTTAACTTAATATATATAAAATAAAAAAAGAAAACACTGCCTACATTCTTGTCTGATTTTTATTTTAGATTTCTATATTTTTCACCAATGTAAAAGTTTAATTTTTTTACATTTTTGTCTATAATAAATATTAAATTAATTTAATCAAAATAAATATATTAATTCATTAAATAAATATTAAATTAATTTAATCAAAATAT